ATTACTATAAATAGTATATTTTATACTAATTAGTATATTATTAATATACTAATACTAGTCTAGTCTAGTACTAGCTATACTAATACTAGTCTAGTATTTTAAAGGGTGGACTAATACTAGACTTACTAGTACTAGACTAGACTAATACTAAATACTAGTAGTATTTTTTCCAACCCTGCCTCTGACTAACATTTTGGCGCGCTTCCCGGTAATCTCCTACACCCTGTGACCTAGACATTTTGTCTCGAAAGCCGTTCTACGACAGGGAAATCATCGCGCCCCATGTCAGGAAAAGAAACGCCGTCGACGGCTAGCTCTGACCTTCCATCGTATCCAACTTCTGTGCTGAACAAGGCAGCCTGGGAGACAAGACGGACCGGCCGCTTGTTTGCTTGGCAGTTGCCTATCAATATGTCCCTGTCCAACCAATAGGTACTGACGTCCTGTTTGATTCAGGTACTTGGCCCACTGCTATCAGCCTTGGCACCGATGCATCGCGCACCGAAAGAACTTTTGCTGCCGCGAGCCTCATCACCGCTTTCAGTCTTGTGCCGGCCTGCGCTCAGTGAGGGGAGAGTCTTCGGACGCCTCGGCCACCCAGGGGCTCCACGCGGGAGCTGTCATCATGGGATTGATGAGGTGAGGTTGCATGCAGTTGAGCATGCCCCCAGACCTCAACTTATCCGTAGATCCGGAGTGGAAGCTCAATATTGGTCGCAACGAAACAGTCAGTCATGACATTGGCGATTCAACTTGAGTCTGACTGCACTCAATCCCTCCGCTTGGTGGGAACTGCTACTTGCAAGACTAGCACGCGTGGGGTTGGAAAGACTCCTACCTCGGGATGACCAAGGGACAACTTGCGACATTTATCACGCAGACAGGTGATCGCGTACATCGTATACGCTGCCAGCTTCGAAGGACATCAACAGATCAGAATGAAGCGGCCCAAGGAAAAGGAGGCCATCCCGGACAAGTGGACTTCCAAGTCCCGCTATGCCTGCGCCGTGACTGCGAAGCTTCCCCGGACCGTTGTCCGCCAAGGCCATACTAATCCCGGGACCTGCCCTTTCGGGATCCCCGCCAAGAGCCTCCAAGAACACTCCAACGGGTGGCCAATTGAGCAGAACTGTCGCCCGGAATTACTCGTTAATTATCGCTCACTGCTACGTCTGTGGATAGTTGGGTACCTCACTTGTACGGAGTGCTCCCCACTGTCCGATGTTACCCTGCCGCCGTTTGTGACTGGCCGGCAACCGTTGCTGTTATTTGCACCGCCCGTCTGTCTTGCATCCGGCAACATGGCCTAGTACATGTTGCGGTGCAGTGAGGCTGGCATGTCTTGGTCGCATCCGACTTTCCCATGGTTGCAATTCCACGAGGAACATTTGCTGAACCAACTCACGTCCCCCTGGTACTGCCGAGACAATGCCCAGATCGATGGACTCCAACAGTCCCAGGCGTGAGCAGGCATCCCGACATGACTGCATATCAAGCTTCCATGACAGGAAGTAATGACTAGCAGACACAATTGGTACTTTGGTTACTATGGTCCGTCCATACTAATGGGTCAGGATATAAATCCAGAACCATGCCCACCTCTCATCGAAACAGTTCGTCTTGATCTCCAAGGGAATCTAGCCTCCAATCCACCTCCCTCGCTCATCTCAGTCCAATCCTCCCTTTCAATTACGCAAAACACGCTCAGAGTGTTTGCATTGGACATCAGGCACCATGGTCCGCGCTTCATCCTACCTCGGCTCCCTTGCCGTCCTCGCCGCCTCGGCGATGGCCAAGGAGATCCAGATGAACGATGCCATCTCGGCTGAGTTCTACGACTCTGGCAAGGTCCACGAACAAGTCATCGCTGCTAAGAAGGTAAGCTCAAAACTCTAACGAGCACGACAGAAACTGGGACTGATGAAGAACACCAGGCCGAGTTCGCTCGCCAGAGAGAAGCTGGTGCCTACAACAGTGAGGTCTGGCCCGAGCTGGGCTACACCCCCTGCGTAAACGGTTGGGCCGAGGCTGTCGTTGGAGACAGGAACAACACCTTCAGGTGTTACAACGTAAGTTCCCACCAGAAACATGGCTCTTGCCGCGACGCTCGAGTAACACATTCTAGGCCGACTTGTACTCCTTTGTCAGCCACGCTGCCCTCGGTGGACCCCTTGCTGAGGGCTCTTCCTCGTGGGGATGGACCAACGACGATGGTCGTGAGTTCGTCGCCATCGGCCAGTATGAGGGTACCGCTTTCGCCGAGATCCTCTCGGACGGCAAGCTCGTCTACCTCGGCCGCTTGCCCCAATACTCGGCACCCTCCGAGTGGCGCGAGATTCGCTCCTACAAGCACTACATGGTCATTGGCTCCGAGGCCGTTGGTCACGGCATTCAGATCTTCGACATGAAGAAGCTCTTGAACATTGACCCCGCCAACCCCGTTGTCTTTGACGCCAAGGCTGACTTGACCGGTCACTTCAACGCCCTCCTGCCCCTGGGCCGTGCTCACAACGTTGTCATCAACGAGGAGCTCAACTACGGTGTCGCCGTTGGTGCCGCGCCCCGTACCGACCCTCTTTGCGCCGCCGGTTTGAACTTCTTCGATCTGACGGACCCTTCTAACCCCGTCTCTCTGGGTTGCGCCAAGGACGATGGATACGTCCACGACGCTCAGTGCTTGGTCTACCGTGGGCCCGATAAGCGCTACCAGGGCCGTGACATCTGCTACGGCTACAACGAGGATACCCTCACCATCTACGACGTTACCGACAAGGCCAACGTCACTAACATCATCTCCCGCATCTCGTACGAGGGTGCTTCCTACACTCACCAGGGTTGGGTCCTTGATGTGAACAACCAGGAGTTCCTTGTCCTCGACGACGAGCTTGATGAGGTATGTTAAATTGCATCATACTAAATATCAGCAAAAGCTAAACTTTGATCCTACAGGTTCGTGGCAACGGCCCTGGCGGAGACGGATACCCCGTCACTTTCATCTGGGACATCAGAGACCTTGAGAATCCCAAGCAGACCGGAGGTGCGTATCACAAATAACCTATCCCAGCGCACAACGGAAGACTAATAATATTACAGAGTTCAAGCACCCCACCAAGGCCATCGACCACAACCAGTACGTCATCGACAACTACATCTACCAATCCCACTACGGCGCCGGCCTCCGCGTCCTCGACGGCACCTCCATCCCCACCGACCCCACCGGCGCCGGCGTCTGCGAGGCTGCCTACTTCGACATCTACCCCGAGGACGACGACTTCGAGGGCGGCGGCTACGTCGGCTTCGTCGGCACCTGGTCCTCGTACGCCTACTTCCCCTCGGGCTACATCTTCATCAACACCATCGAGCGCGGCGCCTTCGTTGTCAAGCTGACCGGCAAGGACTGCCCCAAGGCCCCCGTCTGCAACGCCGACAACTGCCTGCGCTCGTTCCGCGCCACTTCCGTCCCTGGCCGTCTCGAGGAGTCGCAGGCTTTCTGCAAGTCGTTCCTGAGCAAGCCTGTCAAGGATGCTAGCGTTCTTCCCGCGCACGCAGTGCAGAACTGCGCCAAGGAGGATAAGGTTGCTCAGGCTAGCAGTGCTTGCGCCTGCTTGCCTGCTGCCACCCCCGCTCCTTGAAGCTGGATAATGAAACGGGAGGAGAGACATGAAAACGTTGGATGATAATGCGTGATGCGACGTAAATAATTCTTAGTACCTAGTTTACCCTCTCAGTTGGTTGCCCACGACTCGTGGCTTCTGAGAGTTTGTTAGCGACAATTGATGAATACATCAACCTGACCTCACACGATATTGAAGTATGCATGCCGTCCGTGAAGCCACAGAACCGGACCCAACTTGGAGATTCGTGTATCCAGATGTGGTATATTAGTGGTCGAATTGATGCAGTTGTTGCAATGCTACTTCGGGAATCATCTCTCTGGATGTCTCAAGAAGTGATTGTCGACTAGGTATCAACCCATATCCGTCAAGCGTAAGAACCCGACCAATACTGTCCCGAAACCATGTGCCGGGCTCGTGGACCTCAACAGTAAGAACTCCCAACCCATAACTTCCCTCAACCTTCAAACTTTTTATCTTCTCCATGTCTTTTCTGACTAAGTACCTAAGTCTCAACATGTTGTCCATCTCCCAAGCCGGCGATATGATTATCATTCCCGCCTATACACCAGATAGCGAGTGCGGGAAGATTAAGTTGCAACGTACTCAATCTTATAGAAGCAGAACTGGCAGTTACTATGTTGTCGAAATCAGGGCGCAGATTCAAGATGACGCGGATGAGCTTCTCTGTGTTACAGACTGCTTCTGTTCAGACAAATCCAATGAAATCTTTATCAAAAGCTTAGTAGATTTAAAGGAAGATGATGGTTAGTACCCGTGCTGCAATGAATATGACAGAATGCACGGAGTCTGAGCTACGGCACGTCCCATTTCTAGACCACTTGGTGATCACGGTTGACAGCTACTTACAAAGCGGTCAGCAAAACAATTCTAGAAAAGGCCGCTTATTTCTTCTTGACGACAACTTGACAAGTTCTAATTACCAAGTAATTTATTTGAACTTCTGATTACTGTAGCGACCATGCCCAAATTGTGTTTCCTCCCCAACATTAATTCGTACCTCAGCTTGATGATGTATACAAAGTTGTCAACGTAGCCGCGCGTGTAAGATGCCTCCATCAACTTACATGACCATCGGCAGCAAGTAAGAGCAAAATTACTAATCTAGCTATAACAATTGAGGAGAATAATCAATTAGGCCCCACATCCCCAGGAGTTCTTCGCGTTTAAGGTGTGCAACAAGCTCAGAACTTGCATGCGACCCACGGACCTTGGTGCGGCGATCTTGAAACGCGCCCTTGAAACATCAAGAACAGCCATCGAGGGTCGTCCCGAGCTTTCTTCTCTATAGCGACGCGAAAATACATCAGACCGAACTTTCTCTTCTTACCAAAATCATCAAACACAAAACCAACGACTATCAAAATGAGTATACGCATGCTTCTCGCAGGCCTGGCCTTTGGCCAAACACTAGGCTTCAAGACCCAAGTCCCCTTATTCGAATCATGCGCCGCAAGCCCGCTTCTCCCAGACTCTCAACTCGCCTGCAGCAAACCCACAATCTTGACCTCTGGAGGGTCGCCAGCCCTGGACAATCTCGCCAGAAATCGGACAGCGAAGCCGCCCAAGAAGGACATTTGGCGTTCGGACGAAGGCTGGCAAGGCCCTCACTCCTGCGCGGGAGCGTACTGCGCCTACTCGCGGCCATCCTTCGCCAATGGCCGCGGCATCGTCCTCGTGAGCACGGCGTACAACGCCGAAGAGGCGTCTCATCTGGCGGCTTTTGCAAAGGAGTCGATCAAGGGTGAAGGCGACAGCGAGCTGTTCCGCGTGGTGGAGATGCCCGGCAAGGGGCTGGGTGTTATTGCGAACCAGCACATCCGGCGTGGGCAGCGGATCATGGCTCATCCGCCGGCTGTTGTTGTGCACCGCAGGTTCGTTGATGATATTGATCTGGAGAATCAGTACCGTCTGCTTGATGTTGCCGCCGGAAAGCTTCCGCGGGATACTCGAAAGGCTTTCATGGCACAGATGGGTCAGTCTCGCGAGCATCAATCTACGGGACACAAGGTGCACGATATCATGCATACCAACTCATTTGAGCTGGGCCTCGGCATTAGAGATGGCCATCACTTTGGGAACTACCCAGAAGTCTCGCGTTACAATCATGATTGTAGGCCAAAGTAAGTGACCCAAGTTCCCTTATGTCTCATGCGCTACACATTATGTCATTGCCTGTAGCTAACACAGCCCAGCGTTGCCTTCTACATCGACGACTCAGATATGCGGCACTACACACACGCCATAAAAGACATTCAGCCCGGCGAGGAACTCACAATTTCCTACGTCGACTCCCTCAGCTCCCGCGCCGTCCGACAAGATCGAGCTCAGCGCAACTGGGGCTTCGGCTGTACTTGTCAGCAATGCAGTCTCTCCGAGGCCTTCATCCGCTCTTCTGATCAACGTCTCGGTAAAATGTGGCAAATCGAGCAGCAAATGAGTCACTGGAACGGTGCAAAGGTCGACGAGGAGATGATCGAGGAGCTCATTTCGCTCTACCGGCAAGAACAGCTTGACCTGTCTCACGGGTCGGATGCTTTCAGACTTGCTGCGTTGAATTATAACTCCTTGGGAATGGAAAAGGAGGCTCTCGAGTATGCTAAGCTTGCTAAAGAGCAATTTTTGCTGGAGAAGGGTCCACGAGCGAAGCAGGTGCAGGATATGAGGGACTTACTGAGAGATCCGAAGGAGCACTACAGTTGGCGACAAAGAGTTTGATTGGTGTAGAAAATGCGCCTTCTTACTCAAGTTTGGATGTAAATTGCTTTGAGAAAATAGCCTTTCATTTACCAAAAGTTCATCTCAGTCATGTTTAGAGCTTCTGGCTAACCTTGAACTTGTTGTCCCTCTCATGCCTCTTCAAGTGTCTAATGAAAGTCAACGATCGAGACAGGTGACATCTCAGAACGGGCGACTCTCGACTTCTTTCTTCAGATCTTCATTGAACTGGTTCCATCCGAAAAGAACCTTCTGCCTGAACCCCCATATTGGTGCCATAATAAACGCCAAAAGGCCACGAATCTCCTCGACCTGGATGAACCTGGTGCCTCCAGAGTTTTGCTCACTCGGATTGAACCAAAACTCATGTTTGCCAGTGAACAAGAGCGGAACTGACCCCACCCAATGGAGCGTCTCACTTGTGTTTTCCTAGTCATTCGAAGAGAGTCAGTAAACTCAATCACGACCACCTCACTGTAGACAGCAAAATCCATCTAGCGGAGAAGGTGTTCTTGCCCGGCGGGACAAACATCAATGCCGCGGCGTGGCCGATGCACCTAAGCAAGGAGATTTTTGGCGAGGACGCGGACGAGTTCCGGCCTGAGCGGTGGTTGTTGGAGGAGGACGAGAGGCGGTTGGTGAATATGCATCGGGTGCATGAGCTTATCTTTGGATATGGAAAGTATCAGTGCCTCGGCCGGCCCATTGCGATGATGGAGATTGGCAAGACCATTTTTGAGGTAAGCCGAGCACAGCATCCCTTCGCGCACCTTCTGAATGACCTGTGAGCTAACATATCGAACAGCTAATGCGCAACTTTGACTGGTGTCTTGCGAGACCTGACACACCATGGAAGGAAGCGAACCACGCCGGCGTCTTCACCCACAACGATATGTGGGTGCTCGCTTCCGACCGTCCACAGTTTCAATGAGTCAATCTCGTGTTCAATGGGTATTGGGGTGACGGAGTCTAGGAGTAGGTCAAAGAGATCCAAATAAACGGACTCGGTAATGGGAACATTGGGATTCGGGGAAACAGAACCCTAGATGGCTGGCTAAGTCTGTTATCGTTTGGCTGGCGCGCGTTTGGGGGTTGGAGCTGTGTGTTTCCGGACTAATTGACGGCCGGCGGAATTCAGTTTGATAGATCGTGGCTGCGGCGCAGCCCGGGGTTCAGTGCCCAGCCTAGCCGATCGCGGTCTGACAGCCGCCGGGTGGCTTAAGCGATGGTGAGGGATGTTTATGCAGTCAGCAGATAACTACCAATGGGCGGTTATCTGTTAACCCACATGAAATCGTATATGAACCTAGGCATTCCCCCCAATGATTACAGATATCCATCTTGCGATATTATTTTCAAGAGACTTGATAGTATCAGGCTCAACTATCCATACAAGATCTCCAAGCACGAGAGGGCCCCTTTCGACCAAAAGCGCCAAATCTGTCAAATTCCCCCACGGAACCTATATTTAGCTCAAGAACCGTAGCCATGGGTCAAACGCAAAGTATCTCGGCAGAGATTGAAATCCAGGCCCCGCCGTCGGCCGTGAGATCAGTGGTAAGGACCCTGTGAAATAGAGCGAACCCGAAGCGCGTTTCGGACAAATGATGGAAACTTCCATGAAAGCTCTGTGCTGACTTTGCGTCTAATTAGTTTCTGGAGTTCAGCAAATACAAGCAGTGGAGCCAGAAGTGGACTATCGAGCCGACTGAGCCGGGCAAGGATCCCTCGGAGCTCAAGGATGGCGATAAGATCAAGGTTGACATGGGAGGCATGGCGTTCAGTCCAGTCATTGTGGTAAGATTTCTCAGTTCTTACTCGCCGTTCACGACAACCGTGTCGCCTCCGTCCGGCACCCGCTTGGGATCCATGTTCGTCACGGGCGGATGCACACGCATGCCCTCCTTGATAACGGCCTGCAGGTACGGCATCCGCCTGTTCTCCGCGTCCGAGACGATGCCCGACGGCCGGGACCCAACCTGCCCGTCCCTGACGTAGGCGTCAATCTCGGCCTGGAGCTTCGCGTAGACGCGGGCGTGGGTGAGCAGGTAGAGCATGATGATGCGCAGCGACGCGGCGGTGGTGTCGGACCCGGCAATCATCTGCAGCGTCGTCTCGGAAAGGATCTCGTCCTCGCTAAGGCCGTGCCGGATAAACGACGCAATCATATCGGACCGCTTCTCCGTGTCGCGCGCCAGGCGCTCCTTGATGATGGCGCGGCCGTTGGCGAACATGCGACCGAAGCCCGAGGCGTCCGTCTCCTTGGGGCCGAGGAGGCGTGCCACGATGGGCTTCTGCAGGATCTTGTAGAGGCCGAGGCCGATCTTGTACGTAAAGATTGTCATGCCGACTTCGGCTGACTCGGCGACGCCAAACATGTCTTCATCGGCGCGCAGGTCGCCAAAGGGCTTGCCGTAGCTGATGTTGCTGATGACGTCGAGCGTCAGGTACTGCATCTTCATGGCCAGGTCCATGGGCCGCGCCGCGAACTCTGTGGACATGTACTTTGACCGGATGAGCTGAACCAGCTCCGACACGTGTGTGTCGACCGAGTCCTCTAGCGCCAGGTTCTCTTTTCCAGAATACTTTGATGGTGGTTTCGTCAGTACTGGCATGGTCCGTATCAGACTAGGTAAGTGAAGATCGTCAAAAACGTACCCCGGCTCCCATCCGTTGCCTCAGCACCCTGTGCTTCTCTTCGTCCATCTCACTAAAGACATGATCGTTCTCTGACATGTGCCGGCACGCGCGGTAGTACCACTCCGTTCGCGTGTACGGCGACCGGATACCGCTCATGTAGACGAGAAGCTCGGGCGAAGAAGTGATCAGGTCGTTCGGCCCGACGCGAGCGATCGTCCCTAAGAGGATGGGTTCAGCATTGGGCTTTCCTTCATGTTCAGCTCGGGCCATGTCGTGAACTTGGCAGCATGGCCGATCACGACGCTTGTAAGGAAGAAGACGGTGAAGAGGACTTGGGGTAGAAACCCTAACGGATGGGAAGGAAGAAAGGCTCACCGTATTTCCTGCATACTTCATCGTACTTCAGGTGAGACTTGAAAGTCAGAATCGCCCAGGCATGCCACGCCTCCGTCCAGCCGCACAGGACCGGGCCCTTGAACGCTCGGAGTCGATTATACGTCTTGATCTTCTGGCCGACGTACACAGCTACCAAGATCGCCGCAAAGAGCCAACGAAGGCTGTACAGTTGTGAAATGAGACCCATCTTTGTCAGTCGCAAGTCCTTCTTAGTATGAGAAGAGTGCGATGTATGAAGGAGTAAAAGGGAAGGTGATCAACATGTGGGATTGGGAACTGGGCCTGAGATGTAGTAGTCCCGGGACGGCGGCTCAGGAACTTTAAAGAGCGCTTCGAAGGGGGCCTGTCTAGCTTCGGTGCCGGGGCCTACGGTCCTCGTGGGATTTTATGAATCTGATGGCATGCCATCATCTCGCTTGGGCGCGAGGGCCTCATAGTGGGCAGTGGCGCTTTGAAGAACTGGGGTGGGAAGGGAGGGAAAGGGAAATGTCAGGTCGAGTCGTGCGTGCCGATCCCGTATCCCGTTAATTTTTTCCCTGGGCTGGGAGCTCAGCTGGCTGTTCTCGGGAAAGGGGCTGAACGGCAGTTGAGCGTTGAGCTTTGACGATGAGATAATTGATAAGGAGTGAAAGGGACCCTCGTTGGACCGGGACCCCGGATGCAGTCAAGGGTCACGACAGCCAAGGGCCCCATCGGGGATTCAGCAAAAGTGTCGGGAAAAAGCCACTCGGCGTCATATTGTTCGTTTCTGGTAAACCGTACAATCTGGTTTGCTTTTTCCTTCCTTTCCTTTTGCCCCCTTTTTCAACCGGTGAGGAGGATACGGGGGCAAACGGGGCTGCGTACTCATCTCCAATGATATTGGAGTGATTTGGAGAACTTTGGAGTACTTTGGAGTTGGTGTGTGTAGCCAAGAGTTCGAACTTATTCCCATCTAGTCCTGTTGCATATGTAAAGCATCGTGGACCGGCGTTATGACGAGGTCTGGAACTCCGTCCAAGATGGATCTCCGGCCAAGGAAAGGGGACTTTGGAGTTCAAAAGTCCAGATGACGTGGACCTCAGGCCAGATTACATGCTTGGTATTGTGGCCACTGGGTAATCCCATTGTTCATTTGAGGGGCATTTGTCCAGGAAAATGGTTGATTGGGCTCGATCTCACTCAGCTGATCGTGCTCGGTTTCCAACGTTCGAGTCTCATTCCCAGGGCGTACAAAAGCAATGTTCTGTCGGTGATATCTTTTATGAAAAAACAAAAAACGACACTATTGTGAATGTTGTATCCGTGCGCTGCTCTGCTCCCGGACCTTCGGATTTCTCCCGACCGTCACCTTAGACCTTAGGTAATCATCCCTCCCTAGGCATCAACGCAAGAGAGCCTAATGCCGTTTACCCATCACGATTATTTGTCGTTGAAACACATATTCAACTGGCGCCTAAGCTGCACTTAACACAAGCCTTAATTATGGGCCGGTTCATGCGTGGTTGGCGATAAGAGGGGGACTCGAGTTTTTGACTGCCCGTTGTTTTGAGGTTCCCGTGGTTCGAGGAGGAACCGAGGGCCCGCGGGATCCCAGAAGGGGAAATATTCGAACCCCCACGTTGCATCAAGCACTGCGAGCAGCGGACATCCCAGTTGTTCGCCTAGGAAACCCCCGTCATCTTGTCAACTCCCGAACCTCACTTGAGGTTGCACCAGCAAACATCTACCCTCCTGTGTGGTGACATTGAACCACACAAATCAAGGAACTCGTGAAAGAGACAACAAGAAATGACAAAATAGCTTGGGTCACATCTCCAAATTGAATATGACTTGAACCAGATGATATTCAATCGTGTTCTGCCCGGCCAGAAGTGGCAAGCATGGGTATTTGCATCACGCGAAACAAGAGAACCAACAAAACACCAAACCAACAGAAACGAAAACCAACACAACCTTAATTGAACCTCTTTGATCAAGAATTAACCCCACAACCTTGATGATTTCAATTCGTCAGATTGCAAATTTTTGTAGTCTTTCTTCGATGCGGTGATGCTTTCTCAGCTTTTCAGGATCAATAATATGTTGTCCTGAGACTCCAATCCATACGATACCTACACTATGGAAGAACCACATGAAAAACATCAACCGGAACCAAATAACCCAGTGCCTGTCGTGATCAGCATACTAGGCCGACCCGGCTCAGGCAAAGGCACGCAATGCCGCCTCCTCTCTCAGAAATTCAACCTCTCGCACATCAGCATCGGCGACGTCCTCCGCGAGGAGTTGGAACGTGGGGAAGAAGGCCCCCCCGCAGACATCATCAGAGCAAACATGCTTGCAGGCACAATAGGTCCAATTGAAATCACAGTGGCTATTCTCAAAGGTCGAATCACAAAGTTGATGGAGGGTGGCACAAGAGTGTTCATTTTAGATGGTAAGCTGCTTCTGCGACCCCCCGGGAATTCTGTAACCCAAAAGGTGATCTAAACTCAAACCAAAAGGATTCCCAAGATCAATAGAACAATCAACGCACTTCCAAGTCCTCATCGGCCCCATAACCCCCCTCCTCGTACTCCAATGCTCTCCAGAAACAAGCTTCCATCGTCTCCTCCCCCGCGGCCGATTCGACGACCAGATGCAAGCAATCCGAAACCTCTTCCTCACCTTCGAAACCACAACCTCCCTTGTGGTAGACGACTTCCGCAAACGCAAAAAAGCTGACCGTCGTCGACGCGGAGCCATCCGTCGCGAGATTCCACAAGGAACTAGTCACGATAATCTCTAGCGTCGCTGAGCTCCTGCATTAGCGCCGCGCTGCTGCTGCTTCTGCTGCTGGTGCTGCTGCACAATTGAAATTGTTTGTGTGTTTTATGTATGGCGCTGTTGTGATCTGCAATGCCGTGTTTTGCAGTAGGGTAGCATCTGCCCAGTCAATGGCATCGAACTTTATGTACGCTCAGTCTCAATCTTGCACTTCCCTGCGCTCTTAGCTTACTTTCACGTATAGCTAGTTTGTCTAGGGTGGCAGGGCTGGGAGAGTCGAGACCACGCGCAATTGGTCTATGACTCTATGAGGCTTTCACTGAGTGATGAAGATGCTTTCTCAAGCAAACATTTGTGATGTGCATTAATATGCATTAGATCATTCTATTTTTGATGATATTATAGCATTCTGAAGTAAACCCATTCAATCCAATTCCTGCGCCTGTAGTACCTTGAAACTCCAATTCATAATCATCACTGATAGATGCGCTTACTGCTCAGCAGTCTCGCCCTCGACCTCAACCGCGTTGATTCTTGACGCCTTCTTCTTCTTGTCCTTGAGGGCCTTGCGGCCGGAAACAGGTGTGATCTGGGGAGGCGGGACGGGGGCTACCAGGGGAACTGTAGCGACGGGGACCGCAGGAGCAGGAGCGGGGGCAACAGCGGGAGGAGCAGCGACTGCGGGCGCCGGCTGAGGAGCCGCAACAGGAGCAGGAGTTCCAGCCTGAGGAACAGCACCGTTGGGGTCAGCAGCCGGGACAGCGGCGGCAGGAGGTTGAGGAGCTTGATCGGGCCACGCTGGAGCGGCAGCAGGAGGGGCCGGAGCAGCTGCAGGAGGAGCAGGGACAGCGGCCGGGGGTGCAGGAACAGCAGCGGCAGGAGGAGCAGCAGCAGGAGGAACTGCGATAGGGATGGCGTTGGGGTTGGCAGGCGTAGCAGGAGGAGGAGCAACAGCCGGGACAGCAGCGACGGCGGGCTCAGAGTAGATTGCGATTGCCTGATCCATCACGGACTCGATCTGAGCCCTGCCCTCAGCTGCGATTCTCTGCCCGACTCTGGGAACCTTTTCCTCAAGCGCAGCCGTCAATGCCATGCTGGAAATCTTCTGCCTCTGGAGGGACTCCAATGCAACACCACTGACGCCAAGGTTGTCAAGAACAGGCTTGCGGGAGACTAGGTCGTTCACAGTGACAGTCGTCTGATCGATGAGAGCGTCGGTAGTGCGGCGAAGCCTGGCAGCTCTGAAGGCACTGAGGTCACCAGCAGACTGTATGTCGACTGTGGCCTGGTCGGTAGCCACCTGGGCTTGCTGAGAGAAGATGAGGAGGTTGTTTGCCGTGACTGGGCCTCCATCCAAAGAGAGGACTGCAGCATCGACGTTGGCAAGTGATTCGGAGACGGGAGCCAGAGCACGCTCAATGGTGTCAAGATCACCTGCAGCTCTCTCCTCGATCTGGATGATTCGGATAGGCTGGAGAGGTACGGCAGTAATGATGGCCGCCTGGGCGAAGAGAGCAAGGGTCAGGCGCATGGTAACCATTTTGATGTGAAGATAACAGACGAAGGGTCTGAAGGTTTTCGAAGAAAGTGTTGAGGCTTTGGGAATAACCAAGCTATTGTTCTTAAGATCCTTGTCTGATGCTCCAAAAAGACGTTCTCTTCCGGTGGGATACCGAACAGTTTTATAAGCTTTGGTCAACCAGTCTGTGGTGATTGAAGCCCAGATCACATCCAGGACCAAGATGGGAGGATGGACCTTCGTTGGCTCCCGTCTGCGCCTGGAACGTGAAACCGTGAGACACATCCGTACCGTGAGGAAGTTAACGATCCTTGAGCTTGCAGTAGCTCACAACCTGAGAACGCTGTCTCCAGGCTGGGAAGCAGCCTTCGCGACTCCAGCATCTGCGTCCCCGACGCAAGGATCCTCTGGATACAGACCACAAAGGTCTGTGTTGACGTCCGTGATTCTCGGCCGGGAAGTACTGGTCTGCAGCCATTACCCACTTTTGACAGTCTGACAGGTACAAGACAGCTAAACGATCGTGAACCGGCGGCCGAAAGGAGGATTAAGCTTCTGTGGCTAAGAAACCCCTGACCCGTGCGCGCAACTCGGTGCAGGAAGGGAAGGCAAGGTCCCGATGCAACAGGGATGAGGTCCTGGCGCCGCGGCGACAGCTGGGCTGCAGGAGCCATGAAACGGACCGCACCATGTCGACAGCGGCGACGACATCGAGGCCTGTGGAGCTCGGGGAGGCTCTCAAGGGCCTCAAGAGGAGACACTCCGGGACGCAGCCGTCAAGTGCCACATACTTGAGACGAACGACAAGAGACACCAAGCTGTTGTCGAAATGTGGCCAATGCCAGTCGACCGGGGACGCAAGGTGAATGCTCGGACGTGTTTCGTGGACACACGATTTTGACGAATGCTGCCGATGAATTTGGTGATGCGCGCATGTATCGCTGCGCCTCCTCATCCCCGGCCGACAAGATCTCTCCGCTTTCCAAGCCCATTGGTTGTGCATCAAGAATATCCGAACTTTTTGACGTCGGCGGGACATCCCCGCAAACTCCTTGAATGAGGCTCTACTATCATGGCTGGATAGCTCCGAACGTAAATTTGGTGGTCGACGTCTGGGTCCACGACACGAAAACGACATAGCTGCTTGATGGACATAGCTTTCCGGTCCCTGCCTAAGAATCAAAGCTTCATTAGCTTAGCATGGACATGTCAACCGTCATCCATGATCCATAAACGACGAACCATGAATACAGTGTTTAATCAGACCATGTGCTGTCCTTCTGGTGAGAAATAGCACGCGGCCGGTCCCATCTAACAGCCTCTCACTGTCACATGAGCGATCATGGCTTCAACATTTCCCCGGTGAAATAAGTCTTCAAGGGTGCTAAGGACAAACCTTGAGGCTAAAATGGAGTTGCATATAAGCGTTGCATATCCCTTCTGCAGCTGCCAGAAATGACAAATTCTGACAGTTTGCCACCTTGTGTATTCTTGTTGAGATGTCCCATTTTGCGCATGATGCATGCAGGAAACGATCCCTCGTTGACGAGCTTCCTAGACGGTCACCGAGAGACTGTTCTATAGGGTGACGAAAAACAACACGAATCCTTTGATGAGTCAGACCGATTGGTTTCCGAGCCGAGACCTGGATAGGGACCCGACGCCGAAGAACCCCGCATAATAGGCACCCGGCATGGTCTGTACAGGTGTACAAGTAAAGGTGAAGTCTTCTCCGCGACAAAAAGTTCGAGTACGTCGCTCAACCTTCAATAAAGACTATTCGGAAGCGCAGCATATTCAGAAAACATGCCAATCGAAATTCAGCCGGTATTGGAGAGTGATCTTCGGCGGTGCGCCGAGATTGAGAAACTGGCGTTCTCGGGGAGCCCACTTGATCCAGTCCTATTCCCCGGACCCATGCCGGAGGATATCATGGGGATTCGAGCTGAAGAACTGGCCAAACAGTTTCGAGAGGACACAACCGTGCGCTTCCACAAAGCGGTGGACACGGATCTCTCTGGCGACGAGGCGATCATTGCTTGGAGCAAGTGGAATGCGTACTCGGAGGGGTTGCCGGTGCCAAAACCACGTGTCTGGGGACCTGGCTGTAACGAGGAGGCGTGTAACAAACTGTTCCATGGCTTGGACGAGATGCGCCAGCGTTTGATGGGTGGCAAGAAGGTCGTCTGTAAGTGGTGGATATGGCACGTTTGATGCGTGTGTGGCGGTTGTGAATGACAGCTAACGCAGACGACAGATCTGCATATCTTGGTGACGGACCCAAAGCACCAAAGACGTGGAGCAGGGTGGCAGTTGATGACACCCATAGTGCAGGAAGCTGTTCGATTGGGCGTTCCGGCCTATCTCGAGTCTTCAAGAGCTGGCCATCATCTGTACCAAAAGGTCGGGTTCAAGGATATCGACGAGTACCTGATTGACTTTAGCCAGTATGGCTTGGAGCAGCCTCACATCAACTGGGCGATGCTCTGGGAGCTTCCCAATCGACGATGTCCATGAGCGGCCGGTCGAACGGTGAATATCCGATATTGGACATCTCAGACGGAGGGGATGAACCAACGGCGGCTCGAGATCGAGTTCTTCCTGATTGTGATCTTATGGAATTATGTTAAAGTCCGAAGAGGGTGGTTTGATAGGCGAGGTTGGCCGGAGAGCGACACATCCGTAGTCAAGGTATTAATTTGCTGTTCTGAAGAAACAAATGCACACTGCAGTCCTGCTGGGCCTCCCCGATAGGTAGAATGTGCAAGGACCTCTCGTCGGCGGAAACACTGTGAATTCACTGTCCGGCTCTACACTTTGGCCGGGCATCCGGACAGTGTGCATTACATAAGAAACACCACGCCAGACTCCCGCTTTCTACCTCAGGTTGCCCAAAGTTCTTTTTAGTGAGGTGCAGCACTGCAGTGACAGACAGTGGAAGGTCGGGCGGCATGTGGCCCCTGCACCTACGGGCTGCCGAAGCTCACGGCCCCACCTCCCTCTCGCTGTCAGCGCTGGAATTGATGATGAAATCGAACCTGCCGTTCACTGCTGCTTTGGAGGGGCCCGGACCTGCACTGCTAAACTCCGACGTCAGGAAGAGCACCGACTGAATCGAAACTCTTCCCCCACGACGTCTCTTTTGTCCATGGCTGCCATCGCGTGGGATCAGAGCTCCTACCTGACATAGCTGCAGCTCACACCTCACAGACCGGCACCATGTCGTATATCGCGCCCATCCATAGACCAAGCAGCATACGCCAGGCCATCAGGATACGCCTGTCTGAGGAAGATGAAAGCGAGAGCTTGGTGGTAGCGTGAGTCTGCTCCCCTGCCGTACTGCCCCTCCCTACCTTCACCTTTTACCCATTTACAGCTTGCTGTACCCAAGAAGAGAGGCGAACTTGGACTTTTATCGCCTCATACTGACAAGCTCCAAGACGATCAAACAGACTCGAAGTATGGCGCATCACGCCCACCGATATGTACTTGCTCGGCTCTGCCGCAGTCTACGGCACCATCCTCCTCCTCCAGCGCCTGCGACCCAGGGACAGTAAAGCTGACCTGCTCTTCGTCGGTACCGATCGATTTCAATACTTTACGGCGAGATGGGACTCTGCCACACAGAGGCTACACACGGAGCAGGTCGTCGAGGATACCGCCGAGCCTCACATGCGCGAAGCTCAGAGCCAGGACAAGTGCCTAGTCGATCCGACAGGCAGGTTCATGGCTATGCACTTATGGGAGGGTGTCATGAACGTCATGCGCTTGGGAACTAGGAAAGGACAGCTCGCTCGCCTTGACGATGCGTGGGAACAAGTCCGCCTCTCCGAGCTCTTCATGAAGGCGAGCATCTTTGTGCCCACCGAGACTGGTCATCCCACCGTTGCCTTCTTGTACCAGTCCAAGATCGATAAAGAGGACGCGCGACTCGCCATATACAGACTTATGACGGACGATAAGAACACAGCTGTCTCGAGGTTCGATCCAGAACGCAATAGAGACCTCGACATCGAGATCAAGGATCCTTATGCCCGTATCCTCATTCCTGTGAACATCATCGAGGATGAAGTTAAGCGATACCACAAAAGGGACACTTCAGCGGCCAAGGCACAATTGGGTGGCTTGATTGTAGTTGGCGAAACTCTACTGGTTTACGTCGATACCTTGACGCAGTCTGTCGTGGAAAGTCCAATGGCAAGTCCCGCCATATTCGTGGCATGGGCTGCCTATGATGACACAAACTTTTTCCTTTCTGATGACTATGGCAATCTTTACCTTCTGACGATTGAGACCGAGGGTGTTGTTGTTCTCGGAATGACTGTCAGAACACTTGGAGTAACGTCTCGCGCATCGTGTCTAGTGTATATGGGAGACGGCATGCTTTTCCTGGGCTCTCACTACGGCGACTCGCAACTACTACAGGTGGATCTCGAAGAATTGTCGACGAAGCTTGTGCAGACCATTCCCAATATTGCACCTATTCTCGACTTCGCCATCATGGATTTGGGAAACGCTGGAGACAGCCAGATTGGCAACGCCTTCTCGTCAGGCCAAGCTCGCATCGTCGCCGGCTGTGGTGTCCATCAAAACGGCAGTCTACGGAGTATTCGAAGCAGTGTCGGACTGGAAGATATTGGTGTTCTTGAAGACCTGCAGGATGCCCGAGGTCTCTTCAGTCTACAGTCGCACGGCTCTGAAAAAGTTGACACTCTCGTGGTTTCTTTCATGACGGAAACCAGAGTTTTCAGCTTTGATGCCGAGGGTGGTATTGAAGAAGTGTTTGAGTTTCACGGGCTCAATTTGGACCAGCCTACTCTAATCGCAAAAACATTGCCCAGTGGTCAATTACTTCAGGTCACCGCAGCAATCGTGACTCTGCTCGATCTGGAGAGCGGCGTTACTCTGAACAGTTGGTCGGTACCAGATGGCAAGACCATTGTCAATGCCTCTGCCAACAGCAAATGGGTTTTGCTGTCTATCAACGGCACCTCTCTGGTATCATTGAACTTGGTCGATAACTTGGCAGCTCAAGAGCAAGTCTTGGGCCGCGGCGTTGGGGGCGAGGAAGACCAAATTTCTTGCGTACATGCAGCCGGCGATCTCGACCATGTCGGCGTGGTAGGTTTCTGGGCAACGGGTTCTGTGTCCATAATTGACCTCCGCACGCTCAACGCCCTTCAGGGTGAAACCATCAAGCAAACCGATGACAGCGTCTCGGTTCCTAGAGACATGGTTCTTGTGCAATTGCACCCACCACACCTTCTCGGCCCAACGCTGTTCGTCGCTATGGAAGATGGTCAGGTTGTGTCGTTCAACGTGTCGAAAGATGACTTCTCCTTGTCAAGTCGCAAAAGCGTCACCTTGGGTAGCAAACAAGCTGGGCTACACGTTCTTCCAAGACCAGACGACGAAGGCATCAGCAATGTATTTGCTACGACCGAGCACTCTAGTCTGATCTACAGCTCAGAAGGAAGAATCATCTACTCGGCGGCAACTGCAGAAGACGTGACCTATATCGCCCCCTTCGACTCTGAAGCCTTCCCAGATGCCATCTTCCTCGCCACGGATCGTAACGTACGGATCGCCCACATCGATGCGGAAAGGAGAACGCATGTCAACCCCCTTCCTCTACGCGAGACGGTTCGAAGAGTGGCTTATTCGCCAGCACTCCGTGCTTTTGGCATAGGCACCATTCGAAGAGAACTCATCAACAATGAAGAGGCGGTATCAAGCTCATTCCAGCTGGTCGACGAGGTGGTTCTTGGCGTTGTTGGCAAGGCATTCCACCTGGATGGCTCCACATCAGCCGAAATGGTCGAAAGCGTCATCAGAGCAGAGTTGCCCGACAGTATGGGGCAGCCTGCCGAACGATTCATTATCGGAACAAGTTATCTGGCAGACCCGGAGGTTGATGAGAACAGCGATATCAAGGGTCGGATTCTGGTGTTAGGCGTTGATTCTGACAAGAACCCCTATTTGATAGTCAGCCACGCGCTTAAGGGCGCGTGTCGCAGTCTTGGAGTGATGGGCGACAAGATTGTCGCTGGATTAAGCAAGACGGTAGTGGTCTACGACTACGCCGAAGAGTCGAGCACATCTGGAGCACTCCGCAAGCTGGCTACTTTCCGCCCTTCAACATTCCCGGTTGACATTGATGTCAATGGTAACATGATTGGGGTCGCTGATCTCATGCAGTCGATGACCCTAGTCGAGTTCATCCCGGCACAAGATGGGGACAAAGCCAAGCTTATAGAGCGCGCTCGTCACTTTCAGTACATTTGGGCCACATCAGTATGTCACTTGGAAGAGCATTCGTGGCTCGAGTCCGATGCGCAAGGCAATCTCATGGTACTGCGGAGGAACCCCAACGCGCCGACAGAGCATGACCAGAAGCAGATGGAAGTCATTAGTGAATTCCACCTCGGAGAGCAAGTGAACAAGATTCGATCACTCGACATTGTTCCGAATGAGAACGACCCGATCGTGCCAAAGGCGTTCCTCGCAACAGTAAGTGGACTTTCACCCGGCCATGGTAAACGGTTGCTAACATTTGCCTAGGTTGAAGGATCGGTGTATGTCTTTGCCGACATCAGGCCAGAGCACCAAAGTCTACTATTGCAATTTCAAGAGAACTTGGCCGGAGTGGTCAAGACACTGGGTCAAGCTGACAATGCGCCGGGTGCCGGGCTCTCATTCATGTCATGGCGAGGTTTCCGGAATGCAAAGCGCGCGGCAGATGCGCCCTTCCGCTTTGTCGATGGGGAGCTGATTGAGCGGTTTTTAGACTTGGATGAGGCTAAACAGGAGGCCGTCGTTGCAGGACTTGGGCCGACGGTTGAGAATATGCGCAACTTGGTAGAAGAGTTGAAGCGCATGCATTAAAGCAGCATAGGATGATGTAGGATATTTAGAAACATGGAGTTGGGCGAATGGACCTGAAATGAATGACGCCCACGGCTAAAAGTAAAGACAGTGCAAAGCAAGACATTTCCTGGGTGGTGGCAGAGGTTCTATCCTCTTGCCTCACAAATTGATGTTGTGGAAGACATACAAATCATAATCCACTATCTGGGGATGAACAAGATAGAAATTTGTCTCCATGTTGATTTTCCTAATGGGGGATTTGCATCTATCCACATCGTCACAGTCATCACTCGTGCCACTCCGGAAAGGGCCGGGTCCCAGCTGAACCCACCAACCAATCAACAAGCACCAATTTCAGAACCTTCTGCCTGAGGCGACCAGCCAGAAAGCTTTCGGCAATCCTCAAACCACGGGCATCACGAAAAAAGACGCTCTCCTACTGAACGTCATCCCTCTCCCCAATTGCACCTCGCAACAACCTCTTGCCGCCGCAAACCCTCTCCTCTCCTCCTCCGATTTACGAGATGGCGCCCCTCGCACACGTTTCCCGCACTTGCCTGCGGCAAATCGCGCGCACCAGCCCGTCGACGGCTGCGCGCGCGCTCAGCACCTCGGCCGCCCGGAACGACTCGACCGCTACGAGCTACTCGAGCCCCTTCAAGGGCGCCCAGAAGGGCAGCAGCATCCCCGACTTCAGCAAGTACATGAGCAAGGGCTCTGCCGGCACCAACCAGCTTTTCGGATATTTCATGGTCGGCACCATGGGCGCCATCACCGCCGCCGGCGCGAAGTCCACCGTCCAGGGTAGGGAATACTTCCATCCGTAGCCCCGAGGAGAACCACAGACACCGAAATCGAGATTTCGAAACACGACATGGGATAACGGAAAGGACGGGAAACTGTACCAAAAGAAAACAATGGCTGACGGACCGGTGTCAATTGCAGAATTCCTCGTCAACATGTCCGCTTCCGCCGACGTTTTGGCCATGGCCAAGGTTGAGGTTGACCTCAGCACCATCCCCGAGGGCAAGAACGTGAGTTGGCCCGATTGACAAAGCTGAGCGGCGGTATGCAACATTGAGACGGCCGTACTGATATTTTTGGACGACAGGTCATTATCAAGTGGAGAGGCAAGCCCGTCTTCATCCGCCACCGCACCCAGTCCGAGATCGACGAGGCCAACAAGGTCTCCGTTTCATCCCTCCGTGACCCCCAGAAGGACGACGACCGTGTCAAGACCCCCGAATGGCTCATCATGTTGGGTACGTATCTTTTGACGACAATCGATTCAATTCTTTTGGTGGCGAGATATTGCGGCCTTTCGGCAGCTAGTCAGTGCTGGAGATGAAGGATCGAAAGTCTCTTCAGCAACCGCATACGAAAACACAACCCCCGAATTGGCGCACGTGAGCTAATCATTCGTCTCCTAGGTGTCTGCACACACTTGGGATGTGTCCCCATTGGCGAGGCCGGTGACTTTGGCGGTTGGTTCTGCCCCTGCCACGGCTCCCACTACGATATTTCCGGCCGTATCAGAAAGGGACCCGCTCCCCTCAACCTCGAGATCCCCGAGTACGACTTCCCCGAGGAGGGCAAGCTGGTCATTGGTTAAGCGGGATCACCTGTATGAGTATTTAGGACGAACGGCAGCGGGAGAGAGAGTACGAAAGGAGGTCAGAAACCCCCCTCCACTCCTTCGAGGGAAGCGGGAGGGCTTTTGGCCGAAATGATGGCAACAACAAACTACTAGAACAACATTTTCTTTTGCATCGGAGACCGAGCTGGTGCTGGTTTGGGTTCCTACAAGACGAGAGAGAGGTGTCCATTTTCTTTTTTCTTAGACGTGTCCCTAGGGCAATAATGCCAAATGTACAAAAGTCAATGAGCGTCCAGGAACAAGCAAGTCTTCGCAACTTTACAATATGCAGGTGTTGGCCAGGTAGATATGATGTTGCAGGTAGCTGATATCAGAGAAGAAGCCGAAGCCGAAGGACCGAAAGAACTACGAAACTAGCATTCGAAATACCAATACCCCGGCACCGAGACTCGAAGGCGGCATCAAGTGGACGACGTCGCAGTCGTCAAGTGACCGGCCGGAGCCCGGACGTCGTCTTACGAGAGTTTGGAGAGATCACGGTTCGGAACAAATGTGACGGGGGGCGATCAGACTGGGCCGTGTTCATGTGACAAGTCAGCGTTGGTTCGGAGCGAGGATCCCGGGTGTGACTGGTTTGAGAGCCGGCATCCCACTATCGAGACTGTTATCACATAGCACAGTCGATTCCCGCGTGGATGGGTGCCACACCTTTTCGGCAGATAGCGGTCTGGGCATTTTCGGAGACGGGAAATCGTACGGCGCATGATAAACAATGCCTTGCCCTCAGTTGAGGGTGGGATGACTGTCTGATCATTGGCCTGGGGGCTCACGCTGGGCTTTTATTGTGGTATGCGGTGACCACGGCTGAGTTTGACAAGGCATGGCAGAGAGGGAAATTCGTCTGCATTCATGTTTTGCATCATGGCTCAAGAGGTGGATATCACGACACGGTTTCCTCGCCAGGAGCTTAGAGTGGCATACAATCTAGGAGTAAGAGCCAAGGCAAAGGGAAGAATGCTTCATATTCGGACTTTCAAGTGCACGGGCGCCGCCATCGGTCCTTGGATCTGGTCCGGTTGAACCTTGAGAGCAGGTGGCATAAACAGATCGACGTATTTTGCCGGCTTGATGAGATGACACTTTTCGCCAGGCATAAATCGGACAGAACATCCGGTAATGATGGCGTCCATAGTAAAGGTACTAAGCTAAGGCAGATCTAGGTGCTCTTCAAAGTTCAGGCCACCATAAAACATGGGACGGCAGGTGGTTGATCGATCTTGGTGTCGCAAAGTCCGACTTGGAAGCGATAACAATAACAGCATATCACCTTGGCAAGCGAGAAAGGTCAGCATGAACAGATGTCGAAAAAGTTGGCAGGTTGAGAGTTGGACGGGGGCCCATTACCCCCGGCCCGTGCCCCTGCGGCTCCGAGTCTCCACACTCCTGCCAAACAGAACATGGTCAAGCCAATTAGACCACACAGAAAGACGGCAGGAAAAGAGTGGATGAGACGCTGTTCCGCGACGGGTGCCGTCTGATTTGCAAGATCCTCAAACTCTGCTCAACTTCAGCATCCCCCTCCATGGACCAGGGGTCGGTGGAGGCCGATTGGGGACAGCCGGGGCCATCTCTTGGACGGCGATCTGGCGATGAGGCTCCTTTTGAGTTTGATATTGGACATAGCGGAATGGCAGAGGCAAATACCGAGTGAGTTGGCCGGAAGAGCGGTACCGAAATTCATCGAGTGATGGTTTTGGTCATGCGGCTTTCGGCAGAGGGAGAAATTCTAGCACGATGGCCGATGTGCTCGAGCGCATCCTCCAGCTTGAGTCGGATCGAGACTTGGGCAGCATTGTCAATCGCATTCGTTGCGTTGCCTCCACCAAGACCGTTGCAGAGAACGAGGCCCGGTTATTCTTATCTCCTCTACCCTTGCCAATTCTCTTCGACAGTCCCGTCACTTCTACGCAGCAGTCCTACTCGAGTCTCGGCCCAGTTCCCGAAACAGATCGAGCCGTACGCTACCATGGACCATGAGCCGCATGGCACGCCGCCCCGTCTCTCCGGAACGGGATGAACTCTTGGCTCGCACACGTCGAACGGTCGTCACGTCTCCTGTCTCCATTCTAGTCACCATTGTAGTGCCAAACCATATCGGCCTGCAGCCCAGCCGACAGTTCCCCTTACTCCACCCCAGCGCCTCCGTTCTGGGTTCTCTTGTTGACGATTCTGTCAAACAAGGCCGCATCATCGAGCCCGGCAGCGTCAACCGTACCAACATCCCATTGATCGACGGGTTGGCTTTCCCAAGCGGGCTGCTCAGGGGAAGGATCCAACGTTGCGGCCATGAGACGAACCCAAAATGTTGGTGGGCTCTGAGACTTGTCCACCCCTCCCCTGGTGTAGATGATGGGGTTGCCGCGAGCATGTTGTATATAACTCGGCGCCTGCTCTTCTTGCTCCACGGTTGAGGAAAGAGATTGTTTTCTGTCTTTCAAGCCATCACCGTTTTCCTTCTCTTTCGTTTCAGTTCTGGAAACTTTCTGTATTTCTATCAAATCATTCATTTTATTTTTTCTAGGCTCTTTGTCCATTAAGTGTTCTCTTGGGCCGGCCCTTCTTTTGAACATTTTAAATCCTTAGTATACACTCTACCTTCTCGAACAAAATCTGAAAACGAGAGTCTTCTTTCGAAAACCTTCGCAAGAATGAAGTTCCAAACCTCCACTGCCCTCGCGGCCTTCGTCGCCTTCGCCGCCGCAGAAGTGCCCCAAGAGCATTCCCACGAGAAGTACCTCCGTGCCGTCAACGCCCTCCTGAAGCAAGACAACCCAAACAACATCCAAGACGCAGTCTTTGGCCTCCTTGGCAACGCCGCCGCCGCTGCGGGCGCGGGCGACGTCACCAACCTCGACTGCCTGCACCAGACGACGGCCGACTCGGCCTTCACCACGGCCAAGGCCGCGGGCGACGTCGACGGCATGGCGAGCGCGCTCGTCTTCCGCGCCGTGGAGCGTAATACGGGCAAAGTTGGGCTCAAGAGCGTGCTGTGCAGCGAGACGGCCGCGAACCCCGAAATTGCGGCGCTGAGCCAGCATCAGGATCCGGCTTCGGATGGGGCAGCTAAGACGAATAAGGCTATTACACTTGAGCTTGCTAAGCAGCTTTCTGCCATCGGGGCTGATCCGCAGCTTGCACTTGATGCTGGTACCTTCGAGCCTGGTGATGTAAGTCGTTTCCAACGATAAGGTGCAAGCTCATAGGATAAGAAGACTAACGTATAGGCAGGTCAACGACAACACCGGAGCCGGTAACACCTGCGACGATGCCAATGATACGGAGGGATGCATCTTTAGCCAGAACCTCATTGTCAAGGACGCCACCCCAGAGGAGATTGATGCCGCTGTTGCTGGAGGTGCCGGCAACGCCAAGTCCGGCGGAGCCAACTCAACCGGCAAAGCAGGCCGCTCACGCAACAAAAGCGTCCTGAGCCGTACCATCCTCTCCCAGCGCGATATTGAGGGCACCGGCGCCTCCGCTTCCGAGATGACCCGTCGCCAATCCAAGAACAAGAACAAGAACAACAACAATGCCGACGCCAACGCCAACAACAGCACCGCCGACGCAGCCACAGGCACGACAAACGTCCAAACCTTCACCGGCACCCTCGGCGGCCCCGCCCCGCCTGTGACCTCGGATCCGTCGGCAGACAAGCCCTTCTCCGTCAACGGCGCAACCTTCCTCAACGCCGGCGCAGCCCTTCAGCGCTCCTGCGCGGTCCAGCACAACGCCTGCGCAAACGCCGCGAACTCTGGATCAGGTGACATCTCCGTCTCAGACTGCGACGCGCAGGAAGACGACTGCCTCGCGGCCTCGTCGCAGACGAAGCTCCGTCGCGCGTCGGGTCTGAACGCACGCGGTGCGCGGAGGATGAGGATCGCGACGACAGCGCTGTTGAAGGGTCGCCAGGCGTTTGAGTTTGGCGAGTGCCAGGACCCAAGTATTGAGTTTGCTGAGGGTCTCGATGGGCGCAAGGAGGCTTCGTTTGCCCCCGCTGGCGACTTTGAGCACGGCAGTGCGTTGAACATTGGTGTGATTTCGGGGTTCATTTGCGGGCAGTTGGAGAGCCGGTGTCAGGCGGATGAGGCTGCTGTTGCGGCTTGTCAGCAGGGCGAGGCGGCTTCTAAGGGGCTGAAGGGGCAGGCTGCTGCCGATGCTTTCAACTCTGCTTTGGGACTTTGAGGGGTCGAGTAAGGTATGGTGTTGGTTAGTGAGAGGGAAGATGTGTATGTATTGGAAAGACGAGAATGCTATCGATGTTGGGATAACAGCTCCGGGTTCTTAGACGTGAGATGACTGACGAATCAATTTGCTTTGTTTCAAAAATCCGTGAGATAATTATGTTCACTTGGTCAAATTCATCGAGTTACTCTAATTATATTCGAGAATGTGAAGCCAAGAAGTTGATTTCAACTTCAACCGTTCTAGCTGGAAAGTGAGAAAGTTGTAGTCAAGCTTTAGAAGCGCAATTATTGTAATGAAATTCGACGGGATCATGTGTCAGTGCAAAGCAACAATGCTAAATTTAAAATTCGTTCTTGATCGTGGTTCTTGGATCAGCGGTCGCTGCCAATGAGAATCCAATCTTTCAGATGTGGACATTTTCATGCAGGCGTTTTCCTGGATCTCAGCTCCAATCTCACTCCACAATCCCCAAAAACGCCGCCAAACTCTGATTTTTTCTCACTCACCAAGTCACCACCAAAACTTTGTATTTCAACACCCACACATTCGTACTCACCAAACTTGAAGAAAGAGAGCGTTTCGAAAATTTGCGCCCCCTGCTTCATGATGTCCGAGTATAAATACACTCCCCTCGGGGAGCGGGACTTCCGCCTCCTCTCCCTTGCAGCAGGCCGTTTCGACGACGCCCTCCAAGGCGACCTCATCACCCGCCCCATCGACACTTACGTCGAAGAGGCAAGCAAACACGAGCACGAGCTGCCCGAATCAGCCGACTCATATGAAGCCATCTCCTACGTCTGGGGTTCCAACGAGAAACCCCACCACATCACCACCTCTGCCGGCGCAAAGATTCCCATCACGGAAAGCCTATACCTCTGCCTGAAGCGCGTGCGCCTCGAAGACCGAACCCGCCTCGTCTGGGCAGATGCGCTGTGCATCAACCAAGCCGACGCCAAGGAGAAGGAGACGCAGATTATGCTCATGCACGACATCTATCTCAGCGCGCAGAGGGTCCTCGCCTACCTCGGTGAAGAGGCCGACGGCAGCAGCGAGGCAATGGAGCTTATCGAGCGGTACTGGCGCGTCCACATCCCCGACCCGCTGAACGCCGGCGCGCGCGCTTTCGCAGAGGACCTTTTGGGTGCACCGATCCCCGATGCGCCGACTGGTGCTAGTGCGGAGTTGCCTCCCGTGGGCGCCGACAAGTGGTTGAGCGTCTCACGGTTCTGGAACCGTGCTTGGTTCCGCAGGGTGTGGATCGTGCAGGAGTTTATCCTGGCACGGGACGTAATGATGATGTGCGGTGAGAAGACGGTGAACTGGTCGCAGCTGTGGCCGGGAACGATTGCGCTCGAGGAGCCGGAGAATCCGCCCTGGCCGTTGGTGGATGCCAAGGGGGAGGAGATTGAGAGCGCGGCGGAGTTGATGGCGAATATGGCGCAGAGGTTGCGGTTTTATCAGCTTGGTGCTATGAGGGGTAACACGAGGTCTCATGAGCATGAAGGGGGGCACGAGCATGATGGTGGATGTTGTGGTGGGGATGGACATGATGATGATGATCACCACGATCACGATCATGGCCATGAACATGGCGATGACTGCGACCACGACCACGACCACGAGGAGGAAGCCGACGGCGACGAAGGCGAATGGGAATCAGAAGATGAGGACGAAGACGACGGCGGGAAGCGCTCAACAGACCTCCTCAACCTCCTCATGTCCTTCCGCGAAGTCGACGCAACGGACCCGCGCGACCTCTACTTTGCGCTCCTCGGTCTCGCCCTCGACGGCGACAGAGAGGAGTTCCGCCCGGATTACTCCGCCACCTTTGAGCAGACGGCCCTCCGCTTCGGCCGTACCCTCCTCCACGAGCCCTTTAGCGAAGAACTCCTCGACCACGCCGGCATCGCAGAGAAGCACAACGGCGCGACGGCGAACTTCCCTTCTTGGCTGCCTGACTTCCGTCGACCCTGGCGGCGCATGACGGTCGCGGACGCGGCTGAGTCCGAGGCCGCGGGCGAGACTGACTTTGATTTCGGGTTCGATCCGAATGCCGAGGAGGATGAGTTGCTTCTCAAGGGCATCAAGGTCGACACGATTGAGCACATGAGCGGCGTGCCGCGCGCGGCGCATTTGCATGCTGATCACCCGTCCCTGTGGGTGAAGCGCGACATGGTTACGCTCTCGCAGCTGCTGTCCAACATCCCCGGCTTCGAGGACTCAAAGTACCCGACAGGCGAGAGCGGCCTCGAAGCCATTCTCCGCGCGCTAACCTTCTTCCGCACCGAGGGGGAGGGAAGCGACGAGGACGAGATCCCGGCCACGACGCTGAAGCTGGCGTGGCGCTTTTGCACCGCTGTTGAGGAGGACGACCTTGACGCCGCACGGCCAGAGCGGGATATCCTGCGAAAGGAGATCATGATGTCCGGCTGCACCGCGGAGGAAGCCAATGAGGCTCTGGAGGCGGCGGCGCAGGTGCTGATTAACCGCATCTTCCCGATGCGCGCGGCGCTGGATCTGGTGTTGGCCAAGGGCGGCAAGTATGTTGCCATGGTGCCGGAGGGGAGCGAGGCGGGCGATGAGGTGTGGGTTATGAAGGGGTGTAACGCGCCGTTTGTGTTGAGGAAGATTGGTGAGAGGGAGGGGATGAGGAGGATTGTGGGCGCGGCGTACGTGTATGGTATCATGGATGGAGAGGCCGTTGAAGGTGTTGAGGAGTTTGAGGCTGTGTCTATTCATTGAGAGGGATGAAGGGATCGATTACGATGGTTGTTCATGGTGGGCATCATGATAGTACGAAGGGGGCCCGGAGTCGGAAACAGAAAAAAGGACTGAGAGGATTGGTACAATGGCGTACATAGACACTATGAAATACGATAGAAGAAAAGAATCAGTAGCTTGAGATAAAAACTTCGCCAATTAAACAGATCTTTTCCTGTCATGAGCGATACCTTGATGGCCTCGGCGGGCGACTATCCCGGAAAACTTCAGGCAGTCACGTACATGCGGCATATTGAAGCTAAACATACAAAAAAGCCCATTAGAAATAGGGGCATATTTCTGGAGCTTATGTGTGGTACTTGTATATTTTTGCTATGTATCGCCTAACCGCCCACTCAAAATTTGTCCGTAATGTCCATTTAGGCTGGTAAGGCTGCAACGTTGATTTGATGGAGGGCCTACGCCATGTTCGACTCGTCGGGTGTTCTTTGGTGGGCTATCTAATCGCAAAGGATGATGAAGTCGAGTTCGTCATCTCTTAGCTTCTTAATGACACTTGACCAGCCCGCATCATTCGTTTCAAGGGCCGCGAATAACATTTCAATATGTCGGTGAACGCCCGGGTTCTGAAGTGCCATCAGTCCACTCAGCGCCACCGAAGGACGGCATTGACACTCAACGGCTGCCGAAGGGTCTACATGGCTCCGGGAAGGTTCTCTTGGGTCAAGTTGTGCACGAAACAGTTCAAGTGAAGCTTAAGACATATGGGGCGGCATTTCGGGGAGATGACACGAGGTAAAAGGTAGATGCGGCAGCACATGCAGTGTACGTCTAACCATGTTCTACTCCCCGAAGAGCCATATGCAAGGTTGCATTGGACATTTGCCGAAATATTGACCTTTAGGCCTTGACATCTTCAGGGTAACATGACTAAAGTATTGCAGACTTGAAATCAGAAATATCAGTGATCGTCTGAGATGGGTAAAGCAATTCTAGGAGTTACCATCGACATCGTTCCTGCCTGCTCTGCCGGAGGCCAGGTGTCAAAATGCAAGAGAGGACAGCAAGCACTAACTATATTTTCCTTTACGTACGCACAAAAATGAGACTGTAAGACCATTGTAGTGAAGTAGCCGGGTTAACTCATTGACACTTTGATATTTTCATCGTCTCGCTAAGTCTTGGCTTGCTTCTCCAATGGAATTGACAAGTCATATAATCCGAGTAATAGCTGCGAATACTTTTTTCTGGAGAAACGGCCCTTCATAAACAATACTGGTCGATAGATGGTTGAAAGATGACGTGTTGGAGAGAGGCATCCAAGAACTTCATGCTCTGGGCCGGGAGTCTCCAAGTTTACCCCTGTAACATTGAGTCTCCAGGTCTGGTGAGAGAAAGAGACCATACACGCCATCTATCATCATTCGAAGCGGTTGCAAACCTGAACCTATCCCCCGCGGTCGGTCCTATAGCCAATGCCCTGACCAAAGCGGCATGGGGGAGAAGTCTGGCAATTAATCCACCGGTTGTCATGTCCCAGAATCGTACATCCCCATCCCCGCTGGCGCTCAAAACCCATCCGTTAGGTAAAACTTCTAAGGCCAATACAAAGTCCTAAAAGCATGGTCAATTTTCAATATAAGTCGAAATCCAACGGTTCATCATACCCTGTGGCCCTTGACTTTCCGGAGACATTCCAGGGACTGTGACGAGTCGTCGCATTGTTGGTTTACAGCCTGGAAAACATTGACAGAGCAATCTTGAGATGCTGTAATCACGTACTTGTCGTCGGGAGAAAATCGAGCGTCATTGACACCACCCGTGTGGCCGTAGCACTCCCAAATTCTGGGTTTGGGCTGGCCTTCTTCAGAAAGTACTCCAACCTTTGGTGTCGTATCGGTCTTCCATACTAGCGCGTTAGATTCGTAAGTGAAAGCGACGAGGAAGTCGTTTTGGTTGGAAAATGCCACCCCGGTCACGATGTTTGAAAATAGAAGAACGTGGGAACATTCCCAGGTGGTGGTGCTCCAGAGTCGAACTGCGGAATCTGCACCAGCAGAAGCAAGAAGCTTGCCGTTTTTTGAGATATCCAGCTTGTAGACAGTATTGCGCTCATGCCCAACAAGTGTTTGGACGACAGTTTGTGACTTGATGTCAACTACCTATAGGGTGTTAGATAAACATCCTGTTGGAGAAGGTGTATCTATGCACGCGCGAAAGGACTTACCCGGATCGGATCATTACCCGAGCATACAACGAATAAATCGTCGTTCGGATGAAAACAGGAGTCATAGTAATCCATCCTGTATATCTCGGGGTTCGGCACCATTATTTCTTCAGAGTTTAGGATGCAAATGGCTTCCTCGGTTCCAATATCAAGAACTTGAAACAAACGTTCGCTGCATACTCCGACGTAAGGCCCGCGCGGACTAAAACACACGTCGAGAACTGGGGAATCCAACTGACCCATGTGTAAGAGAGTGAGATCAAACATCTTTGGGATTGTTTGATTGTGATACACGGACCAATCTCTGCCTCTGACTATGTGACTGGGCGGTAATGAGCCATAAGTAGGTTGAACAGGCGACTGATCGGGACAGACTTTGCCACGCTTTTTCTTGTCTTGTAAACCGAGGAATAGAGAGATGGCAGCCAGTGTGCCCATTCTCTTGATCAAGACTTGCCAGCCACGCGATAAATGATCTTGGCCTAGTCGAAACGGAGTACCCTCTTGGGAATATCTCTCACCATCCGGGACAGCGCCTGCACTGTTCAAATCTCCGACTTCACCTGAGTAAAGTCGTGGGAGAGAAAAGAGAGAAAGCTGTACAAGATGATGGCCGACATGTTTTCGAAATGAATCTGCATCGACATAAACGTCAGCATTATCAATTTCGTCCTTGATGTCAGTCTGCGTAGACGACTCGGCGTGCGGCTCAACGATAGCCCACTCGTCGTCACAGAATGGGCATTCGCTGGCCAAAATTTGCCTTGCTGGTCGCTTGCATTGGCTAATAAGCGACGAAAGCTGACTGGCCACTACATCGCTTTTATGATACTTATGCATGTGTTCTTGCATGTCCGCGGAGTTCTGAACCGTATTAGCGCACAACGGACATTCCCAAATCGTACGATGGGCTAGTAACTCGTGCTCGAACCAGGTATGAGCCGAATTAAAGGTATCCAAGGTACAGTTCTGGTCAAGGCACACGTATGGCTCCAAGTCATGGATGATATGTTTCCTATATGAACATCAGTAATGATATCAACGGATCGGGCTCCGTAAACTTGCCGCCATTGCACTTCTTTGTTCTTCGTTTGCCAGAGAACAATTTCCAAGCAATACGGACACAAGAACGAATCGCTCTTCTGCCCCTCCTGGGGTATCGGCGGAAATTGAAGTTCTGTATCAGAAGCTTCCACAACTGTGGTCGCCATCGAGAATACCGACATGGCAGGCTCTGGACTTTGAATTGCGAAAAATTGGGTCTCTGGTTCTTTGTTTCTCACGAATTCCGTGGCTTCAGTTTCTGCTAGAATGCTAGGCTTGGTCATAGCAGACACGATTGACCCTTGTGGGAGGGGTTCTCCGTCAATTGGCTTGGGCTCGGCCCGTAGATGAGCGTCTCTTCTGCCCATGATTATGTCGTCTTCTTGGGAAGCCAACTTTTCTTGATGTTGCTGACGATATTTGAAGTATTGTCTCCGCCGAGCATTTGCCTCCGCTAGACGTATTGCCAGAGGTTCGTTGGTTTCCCAGAGGATACTATACTTATCTTTGATGTACATCAAATCAGCAGTGTTTACGAAAGGCTTCGTTTTGGAGGCTCGTTGGCGTCTGTCCTCGGGCGCGAATTTGCGGATGAATACTGAAGCTTTGAACAGGCTGTTGAGGCTTGTCCTGATTGCTGATAGAAGCTTCTGTACCTCCGAGGGTTTGCCGTGTCGACTATCCCGAGTGCTGTTCGAAGTAGTAGATGCGCCTGACTCAGAACTGCTGGAGGAAATATCGAATTCCTCCAATTCTTCATCAGTAATGTCCAATGTCGGCACGACTCTGTTAGGTCGACGGCCTGAGACGATCTCTGTAGCTATAAAGCACGCGTTAACATTTGGGAAACAAACTTCAAACTGGAACGTACCCATTTTGGCAGACTCGTTCAAGTCCTCAAGCATGCTGAAAATGGAGGCTCTGACCGTGGGACTATCGCGTAGGCGATGGTCGAGCGATAGCTTGGAGCTAGGCTGTCGAAGAGCGCCCAGGTTCCCAGCCCATTGCTCGAATCTTTCAAGCAGTTGCGCGAAGTCTCTTTCTGTGAGTTCATGCTCCCATGTGTTTCTGCTCTTTTCGAACTCCTGGGCAAGACTCGAGAGACTGTTGTAGCAGCGGCGTGCGGCTTGGGAAATCTCAGGGCTCGCCATTCTCAAAATCGCGTTTGAGTTCTTTTCGTAATCTTCCCGGCTGATCTTAGTTCTTCAGACGTTAATTGCGAAATGATTGAAGGTTGATTGAGGTCATGAGGGGGCTTTTCGTTGGGACCGGAGTAGTCAGGGGAACCAACGTGCATCAGGGCGCGTATGCAAGATTCCATGCACATCTTCATTCTGATTTGTCCAGACCAACGTTTCCTCGGTATTCATTTCCAGAGCCTTATGATGACTCAGATTACCCCGCAGTAGACGATTGAAGATAAATCTCTCAGTGTTACGATGTCACTCGTTTTGAAAGGTTGCCTGTGACCAACGGGAATGATTGTCGCGAGAAGCGCACACTTATCGCCGCCATGTCAGGATTCGAGATTGCTGGCGCTGTTCTAGGTGGCTTCCCAATTCTTCTCAACTGCATAGATTATTACCGCGGAGCCCTTGAGCCGATGGACAATTGGTGGCACTTCCGAAAATATCTCATCGAGTTTGTCGACGATATCAGGCACCAGAACATGAGATATCATGATAATCTCATTCGACTTCTCGACCCCATCATTCCTGACAATGAGAGTCTTGTGAACTTGATAAGAGACCCCACCGATTTCCGATGGAAGGATGGTAGCCTTGAGGATCATTTGAAAGACCGCTTCCCAAGTGAGCTGGACCGCTTCCTTCGAACCATTGAGAGGATGCACGATGTGATGTTGGAGCTCTATAAGATTCTTCAAATTCGAGATGGAAAGGTAAGGGTTTCCGGATTCCGTTGGCTCAATAGTTGTGCTCATCCCTCGTTGAATAGGCCCCTTGGCTAGGAACGGCAGAACACAACCCAGTGCAGTGGTATTGCAAGCGCCTGCAGTTGAGCTTGTCCAAAGGCAAACATAAAAAGGTGCAAAAGCTGGATAAACTCAATCAGGTCCTACAAGATATGGTGGGATTCAGTGAGCGCACTCTGCCGATATCTGATAGGAGAAAGAGTTCCGGCCCAGTACGCCGTCTAGAAAGCGCTCGCCAACACGCGTGCCGTGTGTATGAAACACTGAGAGATCACTGGAGATGCCACCAAGGTTGCAATTGCCACAAAGCACACTTGCGATTGTGCGGCGAATCTTCTCCCGAGACTTTATCCATGGTTCTTGTTTGGGGTACCGGGGACAGCACGGATTCCTCACTTAAGCCCAAGGCGTACGAGGTCATGATTCAAAATACTAAAGACCGGAACCCAGCCACATCGACAGACATCGGAGTTGTTCATGGATCAGCGACTTTATCTCACATCCAAAGCATTACGGAGCAAAAGACACAATATATCAAATCGTGGCCGTCATTCCTTGATAGGGTTTCTCACAGATTTCAACCTAAACCGGCTGCAATCACTGGCTCAAACCAATCAACCCCCACGAAGAATGTCAAGTTTTTGGAGCCAAGTCCAGCTATATGTATCACACCGTCCGAAAACGAAGCTGCTATGAAGAATGGCGGGGTTTCCCTTCCCTGTCGGAATAATGACGAACGATCCAGCAGGCAGAAAATCGAAAACCTTTGCGCCTTTTTGGAGGAGACATCATGGAACGAGGGTGTCCTGCATGACGAGTTCGACAGGCACCTCGTCTTCAATAAAGATTCATCAGGTTTGCGACGTATCGTTCCCGGCAAATTGAGGCTTTTGTCTCTCACCGAGTTGCTAGAAGCACACCACCAAGCGGATATAACCCTTTCGAGGCAGTCACGGTTCGAGATAGCAGCCCATATCTCGGCGGCGCTACTCAACACGTATCCCTCGCCTTGGATGCCTTCTTCCTGGACGAAGAGCAGCTTTTACTTCCTTGTTGACGATGAGACGCTCTTGAGCTGCCATCCATTTTTGTCAAACACATTTGAGCTCGACAAGGAAGAGAGCTCGCTCTCCGAAGAATCGACGTCACCCAAGAACATTTCGGAGCAGACAGCCCGCAACTACCTGTTCACTGTCGGCGTAATAGTTTTGGAACTGATATTTGGGCATGACATTGGCCATTGCCGCTTCCGCAAAGATTACCTTCAGGATAACAGACCCAATGAGCTCACAGATATGCTTACTGCTCAACGGTGGGCGAAGAAAGTTCTAGGCGAAAGTGGACCGAATATTGCGGATGTTGTTAGGCGCTGTCTAGACTGTTCATTTGGCCCAAGGCCGGTACTCTCAGACGTACGGTTTAGAGAGTCGATTTATGAAGGAGTCATCAAGCCCCTGGCATCATACGCTAAAATATGGCCTGAAGTGATGGTCTAATGCCATCAAAAAGTCAAGATCTTGTATATGTACTCTACACGGTTCATTCACCTCAGGCACGCTAGTACTACCTCAGTTATTGTAACCGATCATCTTGCAGGTGTTAAAGAGAAATATGGTCACTGGTCCCAGAAACTTTGTTCACCAAGGTATTCGGGACGGCGCGGCGGTTGTGTGTGGGTCGCCCGATCCCGCTAACGGGGCCGACCGAGCGTACGGGTGGCTGGCGGTGTAGGCGTCATCGATGATTGTTGGCAGCATCATCTAGTTCATCCCTGTTTCGCATGTTCCTCAAAGCGCTGTTGAGTTTCAATATCATTTAAAGTTGGAAATGCTTCAGGCTTTTGCTCGCATATGCACTCCTGTTTACTCGAAATCCTATCTAGTTTTACCTGATACTACCTCACTTTCATACTTGTACCCGGCTCGGAAATTTCTGTCATACTCATCACACAAGATGCCTTCATCCAAGGGAAAGCCTACTGACCCCGAGTTGAGAGAGGAGATCAAGGAAGGTATGAGTAGACGAGAGAGGTTCATGGAAAGTTTCCCATGCTCACACCATGACCAGAAATCAAGCAAGAACCTAATAAGTCGGGCGGAGGAGAGGGACAATGGGCCGCATGGAAGGTATGTCACTCCTCATGCTCAGCCCTCATGGCTCTAAGTTTGGTCATGATATTGGTCGAAGTGATCAACTGACTGGTTATGTAGGGAGCGAAACTGGCAAAAGAGTACGAGAAGCAGGGAGGCGGCTATGAGAACGAGGCGGGGTCCAAGAATGAGCCGAAAAAGGGCGAGCCCGAGAAGAAGAGCGAGAGCAAGAAGAAGGCTGAGACTGATGACTAGTCAGTCAACATTTTCATAGTGTTTATCTAGTATGAGCCACCGTTGATGTTTTGCAAGCTTTTACCTTGGTCGATTTCTCTTGATTCAGTGATGCTCAAGATGTCGCTGTTGTCGCTTTTGTTATGACGGAATGAGCATAGGGCATGATTGTGCCGCATTTCCGTCAACGAATTGATGGGGCAGGTGAGATGGCGAAGGATTCCCTCGCATTCGCGTCTCACTCCTCTCCGTTCTCTTCACAGTCTCACCAGCTTCAAAGAGAGGTGAACCAGTTTACTTATCTGACATGAGGTAGACAAAATCACCACAAAATGCAGCATCTCACAGAAGACACCGACTTCCAAGACGAAGACGACTGCTGGACTCCCCTCCAAACTGCCGCCCGCGAAGGCGACCTCCCCGCCGTCCACGCAGCCCTCGCCTCGGGAGCAGAAGTCAACGCCCCGCCGCGGGGCTACTACGGCCGCACAGCCCTCCAAGCCGCCTGCGAAGCCTCCCACGGCGCCGTGGTCTCGGCGCTCCTCGCAGCCGGCGCGGAAGTCAACGACACGCCCGGCAACAACGGCGCCAAGAACGCGCTGCAGATCGCGGCAGGGAAACCGGACCTGGCCATCGTCAGACTCCTGCTATCCCACGGCGCCGAGGTCAACGTCCCCGCGTCGCGGTACTTTGGCATGACGGCGCTGCAGAGCGCCTGTGCCGCTGGCCGAGACGACACCGTCGAGCTGCTGCTGGATCACGGCGCGAACGTGAACGCGCCGCCGGCGTCGACGGCAGGTCGGACGGCGCTCCAGGCAGCGTGCGAGGGCGGGTTCGAGGAGATGGCGGCGATGCTGATTCAGCGGCGGGGGGCAGAGGTGAACGCGCCGGCGTGTCGGAATCGAGGGTTCACGGCGCTGCAGGCGGCGAGCTACGGCGGGCGGGCGGGGCTTGTCGAGCTGCTCCTTACGGCGGGGCCAGCTGCAGGTGCTGCAGGTGCGGGGGCGGATGTCAACGCCGAAGGGAGCAGGTTCAAGGGGGGTAGGGCGCTGCATGCTGCTGCTGAGGGGGGCCACGTGCGGGTGTGCGAGACGCTGCTGGGCGCCGGGGCCGAGATCGAGGCTGGCGCTGGGGCTGGATGGGGGGGTAGAGGGCAGACTGCGTTGCAGTGCGCTGCTGCAAGGGGGCATGATGAGGTTGTGAGGTTGTTACGGAGCAGGGGGGCGACGGGATTGGAAGGTGGAGGGGTGACTTTGTTTGGTTGAGTTTATCATGTCGAGCACCGGTGGGAGGAACTATTGTGCATACAGGTTAATTAAGAGCGTGGATTGGGAGATAAGGCCATGTTCTAAAGATACGGGTGCTCAGGATGAGAAGTTGATGCCGGTCAATTGGAAGATATGAGTTCAATGGTAAGAGGAACAAAATACAACATCGGAGTCTCTGCAAGAGATCGAGAGATGGACAAATCAGACTGCAACGTGGCCCAAGAAAAGAGAAAAGGGAACTCTTCTGGCTGGGTGCCTACTGTGTACTAAACTGCAATCATTGGTGGCGCATGAACACCGCAACCAACACCATACACCTTATACCTCACACACCAAACTTTCCCACAATGACACAGGCCGCACAACCCATCTGTCAGAACATCAGCCAAGTCAGCCGACTCTCCCAAGACAAGGGAATCCCTCGCCTCGAACCGGTTCACAACCTTAGCGGTGTCGTAGTCTAAGTAGGTAAGTAAGTATCTACACAGCTGGTGAAAAGATGGTGCGGGCGTCACGGCCGCGTTCAACCGGGGCAATTCCGGCCCCGCCTACCATCGGCTTCCACCGGCCTCCGTGACTGCTTCACCCCGCCGGCGAGACCTGCCCGTTGCACACTCCCCGGCCCAGGCGGAAGACTAAATAGGCACGTAGCCACAAACAATTACCTAAAAATGTGTCCCAGATTTCCAAGGCGCAGTTCCTTAATCCTCGACTATCCTTCGTCCGTACTTCTCAACAGTTGTATCACCTTCACAGCACATCCGCTAAGACGCTACCCCGTGACGTAAGACTTGGCTTTTACCACAATGAGCCGCTTCGCATTGTGGACCTGCTGACCATCTTTGGTATCCTGATTCCTGTGGCCTGGTGAGACGGAGGGGAAAGACGAGAGGAAGAAGAGGGGGCTTCGAGATCCTTTTTGTGCTTTTGGGTGCTTGTTGTGTATCGATCGAGGCTATCTGTACATCAGCTCACTCTCACACTAGGCCGTCTTTGCCAATCCAGCCCCCTTGCTCTTGACCTCACGCCCCCTCCAATCCGTACCGTATCTCACATCTTTCGAGCGAGGCGCTGTGATCCTGGAATACCTGGGGTTTGACTGGGTCTTCCCCGCCAACGCTTCCCATCGTCTGGTGGGGCACGTCTTGTGCGCAACGCCCGCGCCAGTACAAGCCAAACTCAAGGTACTTCCTGAAGCCGTCTGGAACACGAACCGAATCGATAAGGAGACGGCGCTTTGTCCCTTTTGTACTTTATCCATTCCCGACCCCAGCTTCTGGAAGCTGAATCTGACACTCTTCCTCCCATTTTCACATTCTCCAACTACCTACGTTGCTTCTGCCTCTCTCATGTTTGTTCATGAGTGGTGTGACGTGATTGACCAGAAACAAACCAGACACCACCCACCATAATACACCCAGAAGCTGTCTTGCCTACCTCGACACCGTAGACGAGAAGAACAAAGACAAACCCACACATAACCATACCGAGGCAATCCCAGAGACCAAGAAGAGAAACAATAGGCATCATGGGCTCAACCCACGAGACAGACCTGGTCCTCACCCAACCAACCCCAGCAGAGCGCCTAAAAACCTACACCTCAACCTACGCAAACTGGGGCGCCGCCCTCGAGCTCCAAGAATACATCCGCCGCGAATCCTACATGACCACCGTCCCCGTCTCCCGCAACGGCGGCATCACCCAATGGATCCTCACCGACCCGACCCTGCCCCCCGACGCCCGCCCCATCCTCTCGTCCTGCGAGAGCATCCGCAAGACCGTCCTCGTCGCGAAGCCAGACGGCACCGTCGTCGACGCAATCACCCACGCCGTCGGCTCCGTCTTCACGGACCCGGCGTACCGCGGCAACGGGTACGCCTCCGTCATGATGAACCTCGTGGGCGCGCAGCTCGCGCGCTGGCAGGGCGCCGAGATGAAGAGCGGGGAGCGGTGGGGGGATATCCGGGACGGGGAGGTCGCGTGCTCGGTGCTGTATTCTGATATCGGGAAGAAGTTTTATGCCAAGCATGGGTGGCATCCGTATGAGAGCACGCACCTCGAGTTCCCGCCACAGGCATCGCCGCCACCCTCGGAAGCGGGAGAGGGAGCGGTGGGAGCGGTGCAAGTTGAGGCCTCGCCGTTGGGGTATCACGAACTAGCAGAGCTGTGCTCCGTTGACGAGGGCCTCATCCGCGCGAAGCTCGCGAAGAAGAGCACCAAGACCCGCGTCTCGCTCATCCCTGACCTGGACGCCATGCTCTGGCATCTCATGCGCGAGGACTACATGACCAAGCACATCTTTGGCCAGACGCCCACGGTCCGTGGCGGGGTCGTGGGCGAGCACGGGTCGCGGGTATGGGCCGTCTGGACAAGGGGTTACTACGGTGGATTAAAGAAGCCTGAGGGGAACACGATGCATATCCTGCGGCTGGCGATCGAGGACGAGGAAGGGAGCGGAGATGAGTATGTGCAGGGGGCTATTGAGGCACTCCTTAGATTGGCGAGGGCGCAGGCGTCGGAGTGGAAGGTGAACGGTGTCGAGATGTGGAATCCTGAGCCCCGGGTGAGGGGGTTGATCGAGAAGGCGGGCATTCCGCATGAGTTTATTGAGAGGGAGAATGATAGCATCGCCAGCCTCATGTGGTATGGCCAAGGAGAGGTTGAGTGGGTGCTCAATGAGAAGTTTGGCTGGTGCTGACCGATTGGTCACATATTTGGCATATCATTAGCAGGCTCATACAAGTGGCAACACGTTGATTCAATAGGAACTTCAAAAATATTCACAGGTCTGGACTTCCAGGCCGGCATGACGAGGTATCATTAGCAAAGTGATCTATGAACCGTCTAACCTTGAACACTCCCGCAATCAGCCCATTTTTGCTTTTAATTCTTTTTTCCAAACAT